TACGCAATTCGGCACCCCCCCCCCGGTACAACCGAATACACCACACCTTTCTCCTTCTAAACAAGAAAGAAAACATCGCCCGTTCGGAAATCGACGGACACCGAAATAAAAAAATTAAAAAAGACGTGAACGAAAAAAACACGTTGAAAAAAAAGCAATAAAACGACGAAAATACCTTTGCCCCAGCGGCGAGGGCTAGCAGCTGGTTACCCAGGCAGATGCCGAAGATCGGCACCGGCTTCTCCCCGTCCGCCGCCTTCTTCATGAGCCACTTCAGGGACTTGATGGTGGAAGTGCACATCGTGGGGTCGCCGGGGCCGTTGCTGATGAACACCCCGTGGTACTCGACGTTGTTGGGGTTAGCCTCGAGGTCGTAGTCGAAGGGCACCACGGTGAACGTCACCTTCTGCTCCGTAACGAAGTATCTGACGGTGATTATCGGCGGCGGCGAATGGTGGGGGTAGGGTTTCCCCAAACAAAAGAAACGATTTCACGGTTTGCGGCTCCGCTTCGTCTTCAAGGAGATATCTTGCCGACCCTCGCAATCCGTTAGTAGTCTAAATCCAAGATATGTTAGGTACGAGGTAAAAAAATTCGGAAGCCGCCTTCCGGCTTGCGGCGTCCGGGCCTAGGCTTACAATCCAGAGGAGGGCATAATGGAGCGGCGACATGCGCGTTGGCAAGCCCAGATCTGATGCTGGCGCGGTGTCGTCGATGGCTGCAGCTGCGGTCCGAAAACCCCGCAAAAATCTGTGACCCCATGCCGTACTCACGGTCCACCGCTGTGCGCACCTTCACAGACCTGATCCCCTGAGCTACCGGTCTACAGCAGTAGCTCACACCACTATAATAATAGATGCCTTGGACGCCCCTACTTGTATCGCCCATGTGTGCATTACACCCCATGGAAACTGCTGTGGGAAAACCATGCAGCCTACCGACCACACGCCACCGCTGCAGCTGCTGTTGACAAGACTACTACGGTCTCACCGGATGATGTTAGCCTTCATGCCGCAGTCGAAGGCGATGATGTTAGTCTCCATCCCCGGGTTAAAAACGCGAACCTCTTTCAACGAAACCTCTTCCACCAGGTTGCGCAGGTTGGGATCGTCGAACTCCACGCCCGGCTGGCATCATACGGTGTTACCGCGTGGGTTAGTTGCGTCTTCAAGTGCTTGTGTGTTATCCGCCAAAATAAGAGACAGACTGCTGTGAATCGCGTCAAGTAGCTGCGTGGGTTATGCACCAAAAAACAAAAAACACACTGATTGTGTAGAGTGCTTTTGTGTTATGAACTCATAAACAATAAAAATGAACCCAAAACCAAAACAAAAAAAGCGAAAAAAATAAAAATAAAAAAATGAACCCAAAACACCCGCGAAAGATTTGTGGTCAACACTGAACGCCCAAATTTGATCGTAGGAAAACAACGGCAAACATGGATACGGATGCGTTCTTCCCGCACATCAAATTCTCACCAGTGATTGTTTTTTAGTGAAAGAAAAAAAGACAGTAGTGCTGTGTGTTGTGTCCAATATGTAGTGATTTTGGTTTGTCGCGGCATACACGTGTACGGCATGACAGCTGAAATCTCAACAATAGACAAAACAGAAACAAACGCCCACGGTAAGAGGAACACGTTGAGTAAAATTACGCGGGAAGGCCCCAAAATCGGCCCGTTCCGCAGTCAGTCCCAGTCGTCGGAAGAATTTGTTCGTGCGGATGAAAGAAAAAAAATAATACTTCAACAATGGTACAATTCAACACGCAAGAGCAGGACCGGAACAGAACAAATGCCACAAGATTTATTGTTCTTTCCCCCGCAGACGTTTCAACAGCGTCTCGGAGCGGGATTCCACACGCACTGCCCCAAATTGGGATGTCAACGCCCGTACCCGGAGGGGATGAGATGTGATCAGGTGGGTCACGCGGAAGGTATGCCTGCGGATAGATAGAGGGGACACCAACTCACCATCCCCGACGAGGCCCTGTGCACTATTTCCCTAGGCAAAACCAAACTCGGTGAATTGCACGAAAAATACGGGAGTGGCCGCGGGGGAGTAGCAGCTTCGCCGGGAATTCC